GGGAAAGAGAACAGAATCTATTTGCAAAACGACCAATTACTTCCTAGGGTTGGAGCTCTTGGAGAAAGGTGCAGAGTGGTGCTAAAAACGTCTGCAGGACCGTAGCAGAAAAGGCTTGGGTCCTAAACTTTTCCCTCCAGATGGTGAAGCAATAGTAAAAGATGTTAAGTGACCTGCATTTAGAAAGTTAACATTGTACTGGTGTAAAGAATGGGTCATAGGGACATCAGAAAGTGCACTAAGGTGACGATCTGGGAGGCTTTCCCAAGGAAGTGAGAACCTGGACTGATGCAGCAGCAGAGGAGACAGAAACGAACAGGTCAGAAAAACATGGCATTAGCAAAACGGGGAGAACACCGATGTGCTGGATGAAGCAGGAGTACAGGAATGAAAAGCATCTCTGCTGATTGTTTGGGAAACTTAGTGGATGAGGGTGGTATTCATTGAGAAAAAAATTCAGAAGCAACCACTTGAGAAGTGAGGCAGATGGTTATTTAATTTTGACGTATTCATTCAGTGTGTAGGAAGGAGACTTAGTTTGGATTAGAGGGACATCTCTTGCTATGAGGTTGGGCAGGAAAAGTATGAGAATGGATATAGTTGTACTTTGCTAAATATTATTTTAAATTCTACCAGCCCACTTTTTTTTTTAGAGGTTTTTGCTATAAGGGCACGTGAGCTTGCCAGAAAGAGACAAAGAGACAGAAAGCAAGAAATCACCCCCTGGGGGAATGGCCATACCCCATCCCTTCTCCTCCATTCTTCTCTCAGGACCTTGGGCATGCACACACATGTGCCCACCATGAGTTTAAGCCACCAGGTTCGGGACTTGAACCACGGTCAACTACATGGGAGTCCAGCAACATAGCCATTATGCCAGCTGCTGGTACCAGTACCAGCCCATTTTTAAGAGACGTTAAGCCACCTAAGCTAATCAATTAGGAAAAATCGGTAATAAACAAATAGTCACAAAGCATTAGGTTACATTGCAGTAATTATTAAAAATTTGAATGCCAGGCCAGCCTCATAGCACAGCAGTTAAGTACTGTGTGTTGAAAGCCAGATCCCACATGGCTGATCTGCATTCAAATCCCATATCTGGTGACCAGAAAAACATGCAAGACATGTGTGTGCATGCCCAAAATCCTAACAAGATAAAGAAATTTAGAAAAAAGGATTACGGTATGACCATGTCCCGTTGGAAGAAGCTTTGGGTTTTTTTTTCTCTCTCTCCCTTCTCTCTCTCACCCTCTCTCTTTCTCTGTTTGGCAAATACACACACCCTCCAGCAATAAAGAAAAAGAAAAAAAAAAGAAAAAGAAAAAATTTAATGCACCCAAATCTTTCATAGCCAAGAGCTCATGATAAAACAATGGCTATGAAACAATTCATTTTTTGTTTTATGCTTAACCTATGAAAGAAAAGAAGGATCCTGCCAGCTCATTTTGGAGGGAAAGAATGGTTTTTACTACTCATTACAAAGTCCTTGTGATTTAGAAGGCCCCATCGTGCAGTGGTTAAGTACTGTGTGGAGGCAGCTCGATCCAAATGCTGACCACTGTTGGAATCTCAGCCCTGGTAGCTTGGAAAAACACACCGGGCACACATGCACATATGCCCAGGATACTTATGGGATGAAGGAATGAAGGAAAGGTGATTGAGGCACGACCAGGCCCCACTTGACAGCGGAGAGTGGGGGGTGAGAGAAGAGTGCTGCTCTCGCTCTCTCTCTCTCTCCCCCATGCCCTCTGGCAAAAAAAAAAGAAAAAAATTGTAATTTTATTAACTGTCTAATTTACAATACAACTCTGAATGCCTTTGACCAGATCTAAAAAGAAGTAAATGTATAGAGTGTTAAAAACATTTCACAGCTCTCTAGTTTTATTCCATGATGCAGTAATTGCAAAGGTGAACATTCTCCAGGGTTCCGAAGCACACGAGGAATTTCAGAATCAGCAGCTTCCCGCGGGTATTTCTGGCACTTCCACCCCTGTCTCTGGCTGCTTTACCACAGACCAGCCTTTCCCAAGAGGCTGCCATTCCTGATCCTGATCTAAGGAGAAACCGCTTTTCTAAACATGCCTAAACCTCTAAAAATGTGGGTATAAATAAAATTATAATCATGGACAGAAATGCAAGTGGTTTTCATTTTATTTCATTTTGATTTTTTTTTTCTCCCAGATAGCCTTAGAAGCACAAATGTTTATGTGTGAGAATCATCTGGTTATTTCTCAAGAACCTGGAGTTCAGTAAAGAGCCATGTCCCATACTTCTGTAACA